ACAACACTAGCTTATATCTTGTACTTGCACAAAAATGCTTTCTTAATTTCTGTTAACTTATTTCTGTATCCATTCTACGGCAAAAACCTGTTCTCATATAAAACAGTATTTACCGGGGATCAGAATTATATTTACTCTTATAAAAAGCTCTAATTATAACAGTGAATGGTTATTCTAAATCATAAATTTTATATTTTTTTGTTGTTTTTAAAATGCTCTTAAAGTACCCATAAACGTCTTGATTAGCCATATAGTCGAAAAAATTAATGACATGACCGTCTTGGTTTATTGAAGGACTAAGAATATCGTCTGAGTCATATGCCAATAGATAAAGTTCTTTAAGTGACTTTTCATTGGTTATATGATTATTTCACAATCCGGCCAAACTCACTCTATAGGGATAACGTTGTTTTATAGATACTTTCTATCTCTAAGTTGATACTGATAAATGAATGATCATGCATTATTTTAATTCTATCATTTGTATTTTGAGGAGTTATAATATATGTCACTCAATTCCCAAATTTGAATAAATGTCATGCATTAAATGAAGTTCAAGACTATCGTTAAGTATTTCATTTAATTCAGCACAGTTAAATTAGCTTAAACTGTCATTCATTTGAATTCGATCCATATAGAAATAAATCAAACTAAAAATATCGCATGCGAAAATATCTTAGCTATTAATTCACAGATACAATTTTACTTTATCTTTGACCATGGACCATGTCCAGCTTAWCTGGAAGTACTATCAGGATAMATTGTTATAGTAACAAATTGAATATTGAAACACTGCAAACTTTTGACGAATAAAGCGGTCAGACGCCGATCGATGATGATAAGTAAAGATCTGCATCTCGTAACATTCAAATTAATTTTAATTTAAAACGGTAAAATGCACCTTCATGTGTGTGTTATTTGTCAGGATATATCAGGTATATATTAAAGAAGCAAGCTGCATCCGATAAAACGGGCTACACGCTAAAAAGTTGAAAGGTCTCAAAAAAGCTCAACCTTAATCAAACCTTTACACTAATCAGGTTCTTCAAGAAATATTTAAAGCTTTAAGTAACTTGTGCTAGTCAGTTTATTTGACGTACTACGAG